GGCGCCTTGCCGGGCCGCTCGGGCGGCGAAGGGGAACGAGGGAGGGAGGGCGGCTCCGCCGCGCGGCCCGTATTGTGTTCCCCGAGGCGCCCTGGGTGCCCGCTAACCTGTTCAGACCGGTTGGGAAGTGCTGCGGCCTGCGGAGCGAAGGCGGCGAGGGCAGTCTTTTCGGAAGTTCTTTATCCCAGAATTTTATTTGTAGCTTTTGCACCACGGGCGCTGTTTTCATTATTTCTCGGGCAAAATTTTCGCTTCGGCTGTAATAATCCGTCGCGGTTTTGGCAATATTTGAAGATCCGGTGTAGTCGGGACTGCTAAGGTTTGAAATAGTTTTAGCGGTCAGGCCTTCCGTGACATACTGCAGTGTTTCGTGAAGAATGGGTAGAAAAGGAAAAAACCCTTTTAGAAAAAAGTTTTTGGTGTTTGAAGGGCAGGGTTTTTTTTCCAACCGATGAAGAAAATACAGGAAGCTTTGCTGTTGAAGGAAAGCAGCAAGTCTCGTTGAAGACATTAAAAAATAAAATTTCTGTGAGCAGAACTGTTTCTAGCAGCAGCCATCTATTTACTTATTTGGGGTCATTTTAATATACATTGTCTAAATCGTTTAAAATCGTTTAGAAGACCTGGAATAAATGAGGGCTGACTTAATGTTGGTGTGGGGGTTTTTTGGTGTGGGGGTGTTTTTCTCACAACACCTGCCTTTTTGTTTAGATTGCAGCAAAAATTGGAGGAGATGCTGGCACATCAATGAATTCAAACGACTACGGTTATGGAGGACAAAAAAGACCTCTTGAGGATGGAGGTATGCACTCAATACTGCTGCATTTATTTTTGTTGAGTATGGCCACGGTGCCAGAAAGATTGCAGGTGTTTTTTTTGTTTGTGGGTTGTTTTTTTCCATAGCACAGCATAAAAACATTTTGTTCACTTTATAGATCATGATGTGCTTTTTCATTTTCAGTTTAATGGGGAAATTTGTTTTAAACCATTGTGCTCTAACCTAAAGTGAACATAAGCCTGTTCTAAAATATTTTAAATGTGGTTTAAATTCTGTAAAGAGGAAAATGTATGTCGGGGAGGGGGGCTGATAAATTCATGGTTGAGAAACGCTTACACAGGTACGTCTTTCTAAGTCTTTTGTTGTGTAGGACTGATTACAGTTTGTACGTTACAATTAGAGCAGGAAGTGCTCACTCCTTAAATTTGGTTGTTTGTTATATTTTATTACTGCACAGTTTCAAATAGAAGTATTAATGCATTTCATTGTAAAAGCATAGGACTTTAAAAAAAGACAGGAAAGTAAATTTTCTACCTTGTACGTACTTTTGCTTAGTCTAATATTTAAGCCTATAGCATGTGTGAACCCTGATAAGATCATACCTAAATCTTCTAACTTGTTGCAGCTTTTTGGATTTGCCTTATACTGCAGTAAAGTTCTCTCCTGAAATGTGTGTGTGTCGTCTTCTGTCTCTTACTAAGCAGCCAGTTTGAACTTAACAGGGTTTGATATGTTTAATATACACACAAAATCCTGGCTAAATTGTGGAAAGAAGTCTCTGAGCTTGTTGAAATGTTCTCATAGGTCTCACAAAAGAGCAATGCCTTTTTTTCCTTTAAGAGGAATGAAACTCAGTCTACAGAATGTAACTAAGGCTTTATATCAGGAGTTCTTGTGTCCTGTAATAAAGTTTTTTTTTTTTCTATTAACGGTGAGGTTTTTAATATACAAAAATGAGCTAATGATGCTTCAGATGATATATGTAATGTATTCTTTTTATTTTATGTGTAGATGGCTCTTGGACAAGTCCGAGCAGTACAACACACTGGGAGGGAATGCCCTCTCCTTTTAAAGGCAGGAATTTTTATTTATTACCTGTGTTTAGTATGTAAACATGACATAAACTAGTGGATCTTTCTGGATTGACACAAATATTTCTTGGAATATGTGTCTGAGTTTTTGCTGCACATAAATTATGGTGGTTCATATAACCTTTATTTTGGGGTGGGAAGGAAGCATCAGAAGTCTATCTTTTCAGATACAGGTTAATTATGCCTTTTATTCCTTTACTGTACAGAAAGGATTTGGATGGTAGTGATGTAGTTGCTTTGAATCTGCTTTTTTTTGAAGTTTTATGCTATGAAATGCTTGATATTTGGATAGGAATTTCATATCGACATTCAGATTGAGATTGCATTGCCATGTGATGCTGTTGTATTTTCAGATGTTTGATCTAGATTTGTGGTCATTGTCAGAATTTTTTTTTCTTTAAATCATTGTTGATTTTTGTATGGATTTGATTTTTTTTTTTTTTTTCCTTTTTTACTATATAAGCATCATTAGCTTGAGCAACCAATAGAGCTAAACTTTGTTCCTTGTCTTAGTTAAGTTTCAGTGACTGGGTATCTATGAGCAATCTACAGTGTGTTCTGAAAACTGCCTTTTGTTAAACTACTGAATAGATAATACGGAAAAACCTAACATCTTTTCAGCTATACTAACCAAGTGCTGAGTGTTCGAGAGATTCTTTCTTTTATTCAGATGATCAACTCCCTGAAATTGGAGGAAAAAAAAGAAAGAAAAGGAAAAAAAAGGAAAGGGGGACTAAAATACACTGGAAAGTTACAATTCACACTAAAAGGTGTAAACACTTCTTGAATTTCTTGGCAAAAAAAATTTAAAAAATCTTAATTTTGCAGATCAACCAGATGCTAAGAAAGTTGCTCCTCAGAATGACTGTAAGTAATTTTTATTTTGTTGCCAAAAAAACTAAACAAGTGTAACATTGTCAGAACAAGAATTTGAAACAGTGTTCTGGTAGGTGATAACTTGAATCAGTAAGATCAAAAGAATGGCTGGGTGTTTGTCTTATTTTCTTGAAGCAGTGTGATTCTGCTTTGTAAAACTGTCAATGTTGTTAGCAACAGATGAGAATCTTTTTAGCTGTTTGTAAATCTCTTGAGAACACTTCTTAAAAAGTCAACTTGGGCAAAAGTTGATACAATTAAATTTTATTGTCAAAGGAGAAGCTTATTTGTAAGTTATACTGCTGTTCAAATTTAATTTTAACAATATTTGTTTATAGCTTTTGGAAATCAGCTACCACCGATGCATCAACAACAAAGGTAAGAGTTGCACTACATCTTATGCAGAGTTTTCCTTTTTACTGAAAGAAAGCAGTTTCAAGAAATTTTTCTGAAAAAGTGGTATCAATGCATAAAGCAGTTACTCTGTATTTGTGTGATCTGTTGAAATTTAGCTTCAGCAAATCCCAAGCCAAATGTTTAAAATGCATCTACGTTGCTTCTCTTTTTCTTCGCAGCCTAGGCTGTACATCAAGCTTAGCAAAGGGGAAATGCGTTGCTGTTTTTTACTACTTGAGCATAGGTAGCATAACCAGAACTTGGAAGCAGATCTGAAGGGGGAGGGGTTGACACTATCTTGTAAACAAAAAGGAAAGCTAATGGATTTAAAAATAAAAAAAATATATAATTCAGATTTAACACAGTGTATTGCTCAGTCAGCTACATTTACTACAACTTTTTTTTTCCACTCATTTCTTCCCTAAACAACCACATGCAACTATTATTCTTATGCTTTGGCTGGTTTTGGTAGATGAGATGCCTAAATTTGTGTATTTTCAGCATACTTCAATGGATACACAGATGAAACTTAAAATACCACACATCTGTTAATAGTAAAGAGGATGAAGGGAAACTTAGATCGATTAGTATTATACTTGAACTTTTTGTGTTCTCTTTTGTATATTGTTAGTTTACTTAGTACTGTGCTTGCATAATGACTTTTAAGGTTAACGGGAGGCAAGTAAGTCAGGGCAATAGTGGGGGCAGTAGCTTTCTTTAGTTTAATGGGAGGATATATATAAATTTAATGCCAGTTTGGTCTCTGAATGGTCGTTGTCTTTTGTTTGATTTAATATTCTCTGTAGGTCTGTGATGACAGAGGAGTACAAAGTTCCAGATGGGATGGTTGGATTCAGTAAGTAGTATGGATGTGGTGGTGGTGTGCGGTGAGGGATGTTAGCAGATGCTGCTAATACAAATAATCTTTCTATATTTTCTTTCTCCAAGTAATTGGCAGAGGTGGAGAGCAGATCTCACGTATACAGCAAGAGTCTGGCTGTAAAATACAGATTGCACCTGGTAACTATTTGTGGTTTTTTTTTCCTTTCTTCATTTTGGTGGGGGTTTTTGATAGAAAGTTCAGAAGGCTGATCATTGCTTCTAATTGCCAGAACCTTCATTTAAGGTATATTTTAATGTTTTGTGCTAATCGCGACTATCACGGTCTAAAGAAATGCAAAATGTTGTGATACGCTGATTATTCTACTTCGGTGAAGTTCCAGTAGTTCGTATATTATGTTTCATTTCATAATCTCTTTCTGACTTAACACTACTGCTAAACTGGTTTTATTTTATGACCGTAGATAGTGGAGGCCTGCCTGAAAGATCATGTATGCTAACTGGAACACCAGAGTCTGTTCAGTAAGTAAAACAAATTCTATGTGTTCATATTTAACTGTGCAATACACTTCATTTTTTAGATCTAAATATAATATCTAGATAGTATGTTTGTAATACTATGTTTTTCCTCTATTGAAGAGACAGTCTGGTGACAATTAAATGTATACGTAAGAAAAAAGGCCCTGAACCTGCAGTCAGATCCCTCAACGTACTTGGAATTTTAAGACAAAAATACAGAACTTCAACTTTTTCAAGTCCAAATCTTGTTGTAGATACTACTTACCTAACCATGCACTGATATCAGCTTGAAAATGACATGTGTGAATATATACTAAAAAGAAATGTGTGCTAAAAGGAAATTCTTTATTAACCGTAAATTGGAAGATCACAGGGAAAATGTGGAAGATCAGTCAGTAATGTGTAAGATTAGGAGTTACTCAAAGCCCAGACCATCAGAGTTCTTAAATGTCTTTTGGTATAAATTGATGTATATCAAAAGTTATGAAAGTGATGTCTATGTAATACCTTTTAGCAAAGTTAACTTTTGCTTTCCTGTGTTCAGGGAAGAGGATGATAGCAATGTAAATGAATTTTTTTATTACTGGCACAGAGGCTATATAACCACTTGAAGACCAACTTATCCTGGCTTTGCTAGGAAAGTTCTTAAGTGTAGTAGTATATTTGGTATTACCTCATTTATGTTAGTTGCTCCCACTTCATGTTTGCAGGTAAGGCCTGCAGCTACATGTTTTCCTTTGGGAAAGTAGCATGGCATTCTTCTCTCATGTTGCAGCCAAGCAGGCTGCTGTTAATGAAGTCATTCCTTTATGGGAATTTTCTTCTAATTATAGTTTATTCTGTTCACATATTAGAGGGAAGAGTTTTTAACTAATGTTAGTACTGTAATCATGATTTTACTCTGATGGCAACTGACTTACATGTGTGGTAAATACATACTTGCTTTTGTCCACTATTCTGGTAATGGTGACAAGTACAAATGTCCTTACTTTGCATGCTGAATCAAGCAGCAGCTATCACGGTACTTGGTGTTAAAGCTAGGTTTATTTTACAGTCTGGGGGTTTTTTGCCTTTTTATAAAACTTAACATAGAATAGATCTGCCTTAAGATTGGCTGTTAGTAGATTAAAGAGAAATTACTGTCAAATGAGAAGTAACCTGAATTACTACTGAAATTAAGCAAAGTTAGAAAAAGCTTTCTGTCTGGTGATTTTTTTTTTTTAATGCATTAGAAAAGGTAAATTGTAACAATTTAATATCTTCTAATTAACACAGGTTTATTTTTTTTAAATATCTTAAAGGACAAGGTTTCCATCCTCTGTTATGAATTAAGGTTTGATCAGTGTAACTGTATTCAGGGATGATGGTCATGTGTGAGGAGGCAACTTTTACTTGCGCGTGTTTAGTAAAGAACCATCTTTTGTATTCTGACACTAGGGTGGCTTTAGGTCTACCACATTATCTTGCAATTAGTTTCTTAAGTTACTGTTACAGATTTACTGAGTTTGCCTCATATTTCCTAGTGATAGTAATTATATTTCTCCTGCAGAAACTTTTCAAACTAAAAAAATAAAAATTTCCAAGCAGAATAGGTGTGGACACAATACTTGTAGGAATAAGTGAATTTATAAATGCATATATTCCTTCACAGATCAGCAAAAAGATTACTTGATCAGATAGTTGAAAAGGGAAGACCTGCACCTGGCTTTCATCACGGCGATGGACCTGGAAATGCAGTCCAAGAAATTATGATTCCAGCAAGTAAAGCGGGATTAGTTATTGGAAAAGGTGGAGAGACAATTAAACAATTACAGGTATATATGTATCTTCTTTTAAACATGATAATATCGAACCTGGATTTGAGTGGGTATTGACCTCCCTTTTGTCAAATAGGAGCGGGCAGGTGTCAAAATGGTCATGATTCAAGATGGTCCACAGAACACTGGTGCAGACAAGCCCCTTAGGATAACTGGAGACCCTTATAAAGTTCAAGTAAGGAGTCCTTCAGAATTCAGAGCATTTTAAAATCCATTCTGATGTTGCAGTACCTAAATGAACTTTCACTCTTCTTTTAGCAAGCCAAGGAAATGGTGCTGGAGTTAATTCGTGATCAAGGTGGCTTTAGAGAGGTGCGCAACGAATATGGGTCAAGAATAGGAGGAAATGAAGGGATAGACGTAAGCACGGTTGAAAAACTTGTTCACTGTATTTTGAGATGTTAACATTAAAATGTTAAGCTGGGTAATACCACTTAAAGCTCTTAAACAGATTCCAAAAGTGGTTGTGTCATGTAAGTATTACTTGAGCATTGCTGAAATTATGACTTTAAATGGTGTGCAGCATTCACTTTACATTACCAGCAGTTCTGAACAGTTTCAGCTAGCTGGAGTCTTTTATCAAATAAGCAAATAAGTTATATGGCTAAGTATATAATGTCATTATAGAAATTGGAGTTTGGCCTTTACAGGAGAATATTTAAGTCCACCTATTACGCAAGTCATGAGCTTATAACTGTTCATCAGAGGTGAGGCTGAAAGTTTCCTCTGCTAGAATCTGCATTTTAGGCCCGTTTAGAACTTTTGTTCTTTGATTGTGAGAAGCATAATATCCACTGGAATTGCTGCCACTATGAGAACTTGTGCTGTATAGGATCTCTTTCTTTTGATGCTTTTGTCCAGTATTTGCTAGGCTTGTGACTTGGTATTAAAAAATTTACACTTCAGAAAGCCTTAAGTGCCATAGGGCTGGCCCTAGTTTACCATTTTAATGTGTGACCCTTTAATTGTGTGAATTTGGTAAGAATATTTGCATCGTCGATGTCCTGACTTTTTTTTTCTCTCTTTAAGGTTCCAATACCACGATTTGCTGTAGGTATTGTAATTGGAAGAAATGGAGAGATGATAAAAAAGATACAGAACGATGCTGGTGTTAGGATCCAATTTAAGCCAGGTTGGTAATATGTCCGTAAGTTTCTGTGAATTGAGTGTAAATTTACTGGATTACATATACTGGAATAGTTCATTTTTATTCCAGATGATGGAACAACTCCAGATAGAATAGCCCAAATCACAGGGCCTCCTGACAGATGTCAGCATGCTGCAGAAATTATTACAGATCTCCTTCGAAGTGTTCAGGTTGGGTAATATGTTGTTTACCATTTAAAATCTCCTGCTGGACTTTCGGAAAGACTTAAAATTTAAAAAAATGAGTGTGTAACTAAAGAAGATAATTTAATGGTGTCATCTGAATCTACTTCAAAGTTTGGTCTGGAATATGAATGTTTGCTTTTACAGTTACAGTTTTGCAAGTGTCAGGATGATAATGATAATACTGATTCAAAGTCATGGCAGTTCTTGATCTGGCTGGTTTTAGAGCTGCTTCTTCTGTTGTCTTGTATTAATAGCCACTATGCTGTTACTTTTGGTTGTAACTGGTGTTTAAAAGATGGTTTAAATGCTTATTTTGAGATGAGCCCCACTGCTGCATTTACAGAAGGCAGACAGAAATTCTATCTTTGTGCATGTGAAACTTCCTGCTTTCTTCTATGTCATTTCCTTCTCCATCTTTCATATGCAGAGTTGTACAGAACATATTTTAAAATGTAATTTAGGTCTTCTGGAAAAGATAGTCCTTTAACTGTCAAAACTATCCAAGTAGTAAATCAGTTTTTTCTTAACAAATGGTGTGATGTAACCAGTTAGTATTAATAATTTGTTTGCAGTAATTTTTATAGAACATGCTAATTTGTTGCTTTTTCTTTTTAGGCTGGTAACCCTGGTGGACCAGGACCTGGTGGTCGAGGAAGGGGTAGAGGCCAAGGCAACTGGAACATGGGGCCTCCTGGTGGATTACAGGAATTCAATTTTATTGTTCCCACTGGCAAAACTGGATTAATCATTGGCAAAGGCAATATATCTTATATATGTGTATCTATGTGTAGTTAAAAAAACTCTGAGCTTTTCTATTTGTACAAGTAGCCATACTAGAGAGGTGTTTCAAGAGAAGCCTTTGCAAATAGTTTCATGTACAGTAGAGTAACATAATGCTGCTAAATCATAACAGTTCTAATATTCTTTTCAGATTTTCCTCACCAAAACACGTAACTCAGTAGTTAAAAGTCAAGAACCAATCAATTTATCTACCCCCCCCCCTTTTTTTTTTTAAGTGATAAGTACTGAGTTCCATTGGTAGCATTTGGTGGATTCTTAGATGATGCATCTTATAATTAACCTGCATTTGATACTGCTTGATTAGCCTAGTGTTACTGCATTTGTAACTCACTCTTAAAACTAATTTTCACATATTCCAGTGAAGATCTTTTACAGTGGAATCCTGTAACTTATGTGTGTGTGTGTTAAAATAATTACTTCTCAAATAATTTTGTTTTAAAAACAATTTACTGTATGCTTTGAAATGAAACGTTTGAGTTATCTTAATCTTTTGTTTGTAACATGTTTTCCAGACACAGCAAATAGGCTGACATAGTTCAGTTCTTGACCTGGAAGGTTGATTGTTTTGGGGTTTTTTTAAATGCCAAATGACCCCTGTTTTGAAAACTTCATGCCTACTAATGATACAAGTAACTTCTCAGGATCCTGTAAGGGGAGGAACTAGTTTAGGGAATTTAACTTTCTGGTTTTAGTGCACTGCAAAAAATGGGGACTTCACCATCTGGTCAGCTGCTGGGTTTGTTTTTTTGACATCTGTGCTTGCCTACTGCTTTATAGGGAGGTTAGGCTTTAAGGTTGTATTTACTGATAACCGTGGGTGTTGGTTCTTACTCATGTCTAATCTTACATCTTTACATGAATGGAAAAACCCAGACAACATCATAGGAATTCCTTGCTGTTCTTTCTGAGTAACAATATTGTGGTCTTTAATTCAAAAAATAATTTATTTTTACTAGTTTATTGCAATCAAAGCTCTATACGACGCTGAAGAGGCTTTTTGTTAATTGTTGTTAGAATGTTCTTGTATGGCTCATAAGAATAGGTGTCTTTTCACTTCTTCAGCTTCCATGCAGTTGGCTTTCTCTGATTTGAATCTTAGTATTTTCACTTTAATGCATATCATAAAAGCTGTATGTTGCATCGTAGGTGGTGAAACTATTAAAAGCATAAGCCAGCAGTCTGGTGCTAGAATAGAACTTCAAAGAAATCCTCCACCTAATGCGGATCCGAACATGAAGATGTTTACTATCCGTGGAACACCCCAGCAAATAGATTATGCACGACAACTTATAGAAGAAAAGATTGGAGTGAGTGTATAACTGTATTTTGGTTTGCTATTATAACTAAACAGAGTAGGAAGCAAGTCTCCTTTGTGGAGACTTTTCTTCCATTTCACCGCCAAATTACTTAATCAGATAATAAATGGATAATAATAAATGGTAATTTGGGTTTAAAGTAATATAAACCTAACTTGATGCACCAAAAGAAGCAAAAACTTGAAAGAAACAGTTGCTTTCTTCAACGTAATATAGTGTATTTTTTAATGATATGTTCTTGAAGATGCCCGCTTTGTGCATAATGAAAAATTTTATTACTTCAAAGATATCCTTGATATTGTTAAAGCTACTAAACTGTGTTTAGTTTTTCAGTCTCAGTATGTTTAGGTAGAGTTTTAATGCAAGTTTACACTCTTTAAATTCACTGCACTTTAGTTTGCATGTGTATGCATGTAATCAAACTTACTACCTGGTTTTTGTACCTGATCTTACAAACAGATTTAATCAGCAAGATTAGCCAGATTTAGATATATCAGTTTATTTTAAAACAGATAGTCTTGTTTTAATTTGTGGGTTTTTTTTAATGCAGCTTGTAGAAAAATCCATGTTTATTTGTAAAATTCTTTATTTCCTCAAGAAAGAACTGAAATAAATGCAGCTTTTTAGTTGCTATTACTGCCACAGCTGTTTTTAACTCATTTAACTAGCCATAAGCCTAATTAATCTTCAGAAAGACTGTTTTCTCCAGGGAAACATTAATTTGTCTTAATTTGAGAACAGTCAAACCTTTTAGATTATATTCTTAAAGTGTTCAGATTTATGCTTCTAACCTGCTGAAAAATGGAGAACTTCAAGGTTTATTTTCATCTGTCTGCTACTCTTGTTACAGGGTCCAGTAAATCCATTGGGTCCACCTGTTCCCCATGGACCCCATGGTGTTGTTCCTGGCCCACATGGACCTCCTGGGCCACCAGGTCCTGGGGCTCCCATGGGACCATATAACCCAGCTCCTTATAATCCAGGGCCTCCTGGTCCTGCACCTCAGTAAGTACTGCTTCAGCTAGCTTCCTTTTTTGTAGGGTGACCCTGGGACTGGCTTTCATTGTATATGTATGACTTGATCTTTTCTAGTGGTCCTCCAGCTCCGTATGCTCCACAAGGATGGGGAAATGCTTACCCGCACTGGCAGCCACCAAATCCACCAGATCCAGGTAAGAAATGTCACAGTTTTGCTGTAGTGTGGATATACTTTGAGTATATCCATTTTGTCCTTACAAGTATATACGTTTCACACTTCATGTTACACTGGTAAATCTGAAAAAGCTCCTATTCTTCAGGCTTTTCTTTACTGATTGTCGGTTTACGTATGTTTTACACTTTCCACATGTTGCTTGTGAGATGTTGAAATTCAGTTGTTACAGTTGGAATATGGCGTCTTTACTAAGCATTACTGATTCTGCATCCCAATTTATGATACCTTTTTGCAAGACTCGGTTAACTGATTTTGAGCAAATCAGTTCATTTTTCTTACAATGGATGTTTTTACATAAAGCTCTTTAATGAGGATGTGTTTTTTTTCCCCTAATAGTCAATGACTTTGTGTTTTATTTTAAATAGTGCCCCGTACAATCTCACTGATCCTGACTTCGCACAGTTCATGCTATATTGCATATCTCTGCCTTTTGTTGACCTATATGAGGATGGCTTCTCCAAGGGTGATACAAATGTATTATGTTCAGTCCTTTTTGAGGGATAAAAATTCTGTTGAGCTGGTGTTAATACAGTAAACCTAGTTAGGATTGTGTATTTTGAGCTTTTGCTTATAATAGTTTTGTATTTTCTTCTGAAACCCATCTTTGTAGAACCTGTTTCTTCTATTTCTGTTTATCTTTTTCAAGACCGGGAGTTTTTACTTAATTACAACTTCCCGAAGTTTTAGTATCCTGCTTTTCTTTAAGTTACATCCTTTGGTTGGACTAGAGCATGAGGGAAAACGGAACTGCAGTCACAGAAGGCGTGGTAAGGCTAGATGCTTGAGTCACTTGTACCTCATTTGTTTGAGGTAGAGCTTCTTCAGAACTTCAGCCAAAAGATCTCAATTTTATTTTTTGTTATAAATGGAATACATATTTTCTGATAGCCACTGGTCCAGACACAAGTTCCATTAGTGAAAAAGGGGAGGGCTTTGGAGGATGTTACAATCTACAGAGAGTTCTATTCACGTTCAAGTCTTTTATATAGCCTTTCTTGGCAAAGAACCAATTCTGGTTTCATTTCCCTAACTTACAAAAGGTAGCTCTGCGTGCATTCAGTTTAGTATTTAAAAATGCCTGTTGTCATTATTTAAAAGTAGAATGATTCACAGTGACTTGACTTGACTTGAAGTCTCAGGATACCAAAAGTGTCATTTAATCCAAAACCACTGCCAAAATGTTACAGCCTTTTTTCATACTACCTTTTCATTTTTTATAAAGTAATTTATCTACATAAAGATCTGTAAGAAAAATGGCAAATACTCACCTTGATGTCATCTTGATGATGATTTTATAACCATTTTTTTGATAAATACTCCTCTTAAAAATCTAATGACGTTTTCTTATGTGCAGTTGAAGTTGGTGTTTCTTTCGACTAGCATTTACTTGGATGAGTTTTGTACAGTTGTCCACTTAGTTGCTCATTTCAGTGTAATAAATGGGTTATTTTAGTATTTTTTTCAGAGGTGCTTTCTCCAGAACCATGCTTGCCTCTTGTCACGTGAAAGTGGAGCTAGTTACTACAGTCAGATTTCTTTGGAAATTTAATGAATCCCACTCCGTGTTCTTCTATTCTAGAGAAGTAGCTACTAAGGGGAAGGAGGGGGGGAACCGAGCAATGTCTTATTTGCTATTTGCAGGTAATGTTAGAATATAGTACATATTAGTTTAAATCCACTATTGTTGATGGAAGCAGTATAATTTAAAAAGGAAACAGCGTGTTAACATTGTTTTCTGTATGCTGATACTACTGTGTGCTTTTTAAGTGGTTACATCTGACTTCAATGCTAAATGAAATACTGCAAGAAATTCGTTGTAGATTTCTTCTCCCTGAATGCCTTTTTCAAGAGATTTCTTCTTTCTCTTCCATTAGTCACTGCCTTACCTATTTTGTTTTTTGGGGGAAATATACTTCCATTCCCACGTTCTAAAGTATCAGTTGTGTCAATGTCTTTATGTGAAGTTCTTTCCTCAGTTGGCCGCATTTATTTGTAGATATTTTTATCCTTCAAGGATGCAAATAATGTTGAAGGGTGCTGGTTGTGTTATAGAACATTACATTCTCTAATAGTAGATTTGCAGATTTTGTGGATTGCCAATCTGGTAATGTAATTAATCTCTGTGATTCAGCAAGAATAAGCCATTCCTAAAGGCTGTATGTGAAAAACAGAGAAATAAGGCTCTAGGAAGCAGCATCGTTGGCCTACCTAGATGTAGGTAAAAATAAGGGAAGCATGGAGCTAGCTTCAGAAGATGCAAGTGTTGCTGCTATTTGTTACACTAAAAAGCTGTAAGTAAACAGTGATGCTTTATAACTGTGTATGGGGATTCAGGTTCTTAAAATACTATGTCTCTCTGTATTTTACTGTTACCTTAAAAGGTTTAACTGACAAGCATTGCAAATATCTAGTAAGACTTGTATTCTTCTGTTTCAGAAATAAGTATTTGGCATGCCTCCTCCGCCTCTTGCCAGTGTCATTAGTGTGAGGTTATAACAAAAGTAAAACCACTGAAATTGTTTGGTGCTTGAATGATTCATTGTTGCTACCATTTAGTAACATGACTGTTTATTTAAACTTGAAAATCTGTTTCTGTTACCACATTTAAAAATTAATAAATGACATTGTAGTAGTAAGGGTTCTAGAATGATTTTATTTCATCAGTCTTATGAAAGTATGCTTTGTACAGTACACTTGTCTGAAACGTAATCGAAAGTTTGTGCTAGAAAGAAAAGATACTTACAGGATGTACATGGTTATTTGGTCTAGATGGTTTTTTCCTTGGAGGAAAATATGAGTGCTTAGGACAGGGTTAATTGAGGACAGCATTCCGTTCATACTACTTTTATAAATGCTTATGGTTTGTTTTCATAGGTAAGCCAGGAACAGATCCCAATTCAGCAGCATGGGCAGCTTACTATGCTCACTACTATCAGCAGCAAGCACAGCCACCACCTGCAGCCCCTCCTGGTGGACCGGCTACAACCCAAACTAATGGACAAGGTAGCTGTTTAGTAAAATGGATAAATTCCTTATTGCTGGGAGTGTAGATGCCCCATTATTTTTTTATTATTGTTGTCATATATTGGGTAAATTTATTGTAAGGTAGCTGGCTTTTTTGGAAAACTTGCTTACAGCCTTCAACGTTGCTTTTCTTAATTTCAGCCATAATAAGGGTAATGTATTTATCATGTAATATACTCCAAAGAGAATTTTGCTGCAACTTGGGCTGACTTAATTGCATCTACATAGTGCAGTCAGTCATAAGTAAAAGTGGAATGAGCCAAACCGTTGATAGTCATTTGCTTAAACAGTTGCATCACTTCAGTGGTTTTAGGACAATTACAATTGTAGTATTTAGTTGTATTAGTATAATTGTTGTGCTTGGATGAGGCTTACTGCTTAAATTTTAGGTAGTATTTTGTACTGTGAGTGGTGCGCATTTCCTGAATCTTGAAAACATACTGAACGCTTTAAATGATTCTTTGTTTCTTTGTGGTGTCTTTTACTACTTGTTTATATTTGTAGTAGCTTGTACCACATGGGTTTATAGTGTCAGATTTGAGTGATGTTATTTGGGATTGTTACTGAAAAATTCAGCTGATTGTAAATTGTTCTATGTATGAAACAAAATCCAGTAGTTTTATTTTGACTATTTTTAATGTAATTCAGGCGATCAGCCAAATCCAGCACCAGCAGGGCAGGTTGACTATACCAAGGCCTGGGAGGAGTACTACAAAAAAATGGGTATGTGTGCTTGTTTTTTTTCTGTTGTTGCATAGTAGAATGTTTTAGGAGACTTGCGTATCTCGTTTGAGATGGGCTTTTTTTACCGCCCCCCCCCCCCCCAAAAAAAAAAAAAAGCACAATCCGTGTGTCTTCTGAACCATATACTGCTGGAGGCCCTGAACCCTGCAGAAAAACAGACTTAAAAATTTGTGTTGTGTTTAAGGCATTTACTTGTACTCATGCTAGTAATTAGCTTTGCAGAAATACTTCATACCTAATGAGATGTCTGTATTTGATCATTGGGAAACAGCATCTTTTAAATACTTCAATCTGAGTATTTTAAAGTATATTTTTAAAGTATATTTCATAAGTTACGGAGTTCAACTTTGATCTACTTTATGAAGCTATTGTTTGATGTCTTTGGTAGTTGTTTCCTAATGCTCTTAAGATTACAGATTTTTTTTTTCTTGTAACTTGCTTTCTGTGTTCCAGGTTATTAAAGCATCATAAGTAGCTTTCATGTATATCATGCCCTTTTTAAAATAGTATTTACTTTGCAGCACTTAAGAGCTGTGTTTAAACTGCAGGTTATATTTTGTTGCTAGCTTTTTCCAAATATTTTGTTTGAGCTGACTTAACAAGCAAATACATTTCAGTTTTATAAGTTGATGATTTCATCATTTACTGATTAAGGAAAGAATATGTGGTCTTGACGCACTGGCAGAAGGTGGTGTTCTCTTTTAAATCATGGGAATGTCTTGCAGGTCAGTGTTTTGTCCACAGTGTCCTCCCATGGATATTGTAGTTGATGTAGATTTGTATACTGAGGACTAGTGGGCTTATAAATGCCAGTGCTTTCCGTGGTATCTGTTTGACCAGACATACAGTAGCATCTAGTTTGGATTTCTTGGGTGGATGGGTGGGAGGGTTTGGTGAGGTTTTTTTGCCCTCTTCCAACTGCACCCGATCTTCTCATGGAAAAGCATTTGAGTTAAGATTAATAGCATATTTAACTCCTTTTACCAGCCTTCTACCAGATTGATCTCAAATTATTTGCCAAGACATAACTACCTTTATTCTTCTTTATTTTGGCACAGCATAAGTGATGAAATGAAACAGAAAATACGTAACGATGATTTACTTCAAGAATAGTGTGTCAGACTAAGAAAACTGCAACAGAACTCCCAAACACGTGATTTTTAAGATGTGATGGGCCTTCCCATTTTTCCTCTTCCTGTTTCATTTAACTACTTTTTTTTTCAATTTACTGTCTCTGTTAGTTCAGCTCACATTCTTCGATGCAAAGTTGTGGGGTTTTTTCACTGCCTTTTTAAGAATAATGTAATTTGTTGGCAGGGGCTCTGCCATCTTTCTCATTCGCTATCTGGAAAGCGAAGTCTGGGTTGCACTAGTCTTGCATTTGCTCTAATTAAATGTTAGCTAGTTATAAAGTGTCGGGATAGAGTTTCTGGGAGCAAGTCCAGAGAGAAGTGTGAACCCAAAAAAGATAGACGTTGGGAGATGTAAAGAATTGCTCTTAAAATGCAAAATTAAAAAATTGCAAGACAACAATCAAAGAAGAGGAAAAACAGAAGGGCAGTTTTGATCTTCATTTCTTTTTCTAGTTCAAATTGAGTTCTTTGCCTGAAGGAGCACTCTTGATGTCTGGACCTGTATAACTTGATTGTGTAAATCATGAGAGCTTTTGCTTCTTCAGCATGTTGAAAATCTTAACATCCACTTAGAAAAGAGGAAGAACTGACCGAGTGAGGTTGAAGGGCAGAGAATTCACCTAGAGTTGATTTAGTGCTAAATGGAGGTGTTTTTCCCCACCTCCTTAACAACAATGTTAAGTAGTGGAAGATCTGATGAACAGGCAGGCTGTCCATCAGCAGGTTCGTGTGGTCTCTAGGCTCTCAAATACAGCTACTACTGTGTGTGCTTTCTACAGTACTGTAATGCTTCTGTCCCCGTTAACTTGTGCAAAAAGGGGACGGTAGAAATTACAAGTCACTCACTCTTCAAGGACTCTCTCAGATTTTTCACAGCACAGATAATTACACAAACAGCTGTTCTGGAGAACTGATCTGAAACTTGGGACTTGCTGAGCCCAAGCAGCTTTATTTTTGCTGCTGAAGAAAGCTACTTTGATAATCCATGTGGCAAGCTTATGAGGGTGACAGTACCGAGCTGAACAAGTTGGATGTGATACTGCAATTGATGCTCTGGGTTTTCTCATACTTCTAAGTACAAGCGATCTGAAAACTCTAAAGCACTCCTGAATACTCCCATCAAAACCATAATACAGTTTTCCAAAGTGGCTTCCTACTGGTGCAGTATGACTCGGCTAATGACAGAGAACACTTTCCTATTTTTTTCAGTGTATAGAACAGTGACTTGAAAATAACCTGTTTTCCAACTCACAAATGTAGTGGCAAAGTCCATCTCCTTTCTCAGACTCTTGTTTTGGTCAGGGACTGTTGCTTTGAGTAGCAAATACAATTAAAAATAAGACTGAAAAGCTAGTAAAATTACTCATGCACACTGGTAAGTTACTGTACATGGATCTTGTAGGTGACCCAAACCATCTATTTGCTTGATACCCTACTTCATACATTCAGAAAATTAGTTTTACATTTCCCTTGAGTATTAGCAGGTAACAAGACAGTAGTTTAGCTTTTGAAGACACAGATGCTATTATCTTGAATTGGAGACATAGTATTTTTATTCTTTCCTACAAGGGCTGAAATAAAGATTTGCGTAACTGGGCCCTAAAAATCTCCCAAGGATAACAGTTCCCTCTAAACAAGAAGTCATATTTTAGTAAATGATCTATATGTCACCATAGGAGTTCGTAAATTTATCATTTAAAGTCATTCTAGTATATTGTGGGCTTGATTTTTAGTTAAGGGATTCCATAATAAAGTAGTGGAACTGTTCTTTAATGATTCCACATCATTGTAGTGGGAAGGAGGACAAAGAACAGTTTTCTCTTGTTAGAATCACCTTTGATGATTTGAGTAGTGGAAGAACTGTAGAATCATCTGGCATTTTCTTTTTTAGCCTTCCTTAATGGGAAGGTATTCTGTGTTTCTTGTATTTCCTTTGTATGTAGTTTATCAATCTTGTTTATTAGTGTTCCAGTTGAATCTGGATATTAATGAGCATGTACTGTCAGTGCAGTTCTGTACACTGAAAAGAAGTTTCGACTAAACTGCTGAATTCCATGTGTAGGTTCAGAATTACTTGCAGTACTTAGTAGGAGAACAATGCAGCTAAAATACTTTGAGTTTTTACTAACCCATTTCAGGACAGAAGTCCCGTTTGACATCTTTGAGTAGATGTTAAATTTCCTATACTGGATTTATTATTTGAATTTCAGCACTGTCTTGGGATAGTTGGCTGAATGTCAGAAGATTCTTGGGTCATAATACACAAAAAACGCCTTAGCTTTGACATTGAGTTGTGCTGACAGCTATGACATAGCTAAACGATTTGTAATTAGAATTATCTCATAAATTAACAGTGAACTTGCAAAAAGTGTATCCTGGGATAATTTGTAACCATACTGAACATCATTTTGGTTAAAATAATTGATCAGAAGTGTAAACTGTAAGTTGTGGTAAATTATAAGTATAAATTGTGATTTCAGCTCTTAAGATTTGAAGAAATTTAAGTAAGTTTTTCTAGGAAAACAATTGCTTTACTGTATAACCCAAAAAGTGATGGAGAGGGTTTTTTAATATATCTACAGTGTAAGTGGAAAAACCATGTAAGTTGTGTACAGGGTTGGAAAATGGACGATTGTATTTTGAAGACGTTCAGGATAGTGCTTTGCCAAATGTTCAGATTCTCTGCTCACACTTAATGTTTTTGAGAGGATTGGGAGAATACACGTATGTAAGAGGAGTGTGGGTAGCTAGTATTCTTATGTGAATTTTCTGTGTAAAAGTATTTAGAAAACAAACCAACCTTCTGTCTGATACCCTAGAAAACAGTTCATAAGAATCTTTGATGCTCATGTTCCCCAGAAGGTTGCTCAGTGGTCTTGTATCCAAACAAAAGGTTAGGTGGTTTCAGGTAGGATTGAAACCTTTCAGCCCTTGTTGTGTGGAAGCTGCTTCTTTTTCTTGATGGCAGAACAGAAGATAACATGCACATGGAATTGTACAGGGTGCAGGCTTGCATTTTGCTTGGATTTATTTGGTGTAGTGCGATTGAATGTGGTGTTTTGTTTTTTGGTCTTTTTCTAGTATCCTAGAAAAACTTGGAGGTGGTGGGGTTTTGGTAGTATCCCAATTCTGACTGTAAAACTTTGATACGAAAAAAATAACCCTTTAAGAATGTGAATGTAGATCACAAAAATGTCATATCACAGTAGTAGTAGTAGTAGTAGTTGCTCTGTTTCGGAAGTTCAAGAAACTTAAAATGAAGCACTCCATATAAAACCCTTCTGTCTGTATGCATGCAAATGTGAGGACAGACGGTTGGATAGAGTGTTGTTCTGCTTATAGTCAGGTACATTCTGCAGTAGTAACTGCAAAAGCACCTTTCAGATAAAAAATTATGAAGAAGATAGTGGTAATAAGTGGAGTGTGTTTGATGTTTCTGAAAGAAGAGAAGGGAAAAAGGAAGTAAAGATGTCTGCGACAAACCTTCCTTGGAAGAACAGCGTGACTGAGGTCCTAAAAAGTTGGCTGTAAATAATTTTTTTTTTTTTTTTTTTTTTTTTTGATACGGGTTAGAGTCCTTGTGTATTAGTCTGTCACCTTTATAGAGTTTTTAAGCTACAAGTTGATTTTGTTGGAAGGACCGGTAGTTCTCAGCTGTTGGGGGGGGAGCATGTGTGTATACATGCTGTTATTTCTAGAGGATCAGAACTAAAGCAAAAGTTGGAAGGAGAAGTTTCAGGACTATATTCTATGGTGGAGTAAATGTTTACAAAAATTAATGCTCTTTTTGAAAAATGTAGTCTGCAATAACCTAGCAGTTGCATTAAGGAGCCCAGAATTGGGGGAGTGGACAAATTGGCATTTGGTAAATTAATTAATGCAGTCTTTACAATAAGATAAAGTCAGTCTAGGTGGATTACAAAAAGTAATTTCGCCTGTTGACTTGTATTTTAATTTAAATGCTACCGGTTGTTCAGGTCAGTTTAGGTCAGCAGGCTTTAAAGACTTTTGCTCTGAAACGTGATTCAAGAGGTGGAAAAAACTGTCCTTACGGTTCCTCAATTTTGCTTTACATGGGAATTGTTACATTAAAATAATAGGATGAGTGGTTAGGTAAAAAAAAGCAGCCACAAGATTATTGAAAAGCCTTGGAGGAATATTGCAAGAAGCTAGGGGATGTTTGTTAGGCAGTGAGATTTTGAAATTTTCTCATTTCTGTTGCAGCAACAAAGCTATATAATCTTAATTACTTGTAGGTCAAGCAGTTCCTGCCCCTGCTGGGGCTCCTCCAGGTGGTCAGCCAGATTACAGCGCCGCATGGGCTGAGTACTACAGGCAACAGGCAGCATATTATGCCCAGACGAGTCCACAGGGAATGCCACAACATCCTCCAGCACCACAGGTATAAAGTTTTAAGTGTTTTTTTTGGCTGGCTTCCGTTTCAGTGGTTATAGATATTTTTTTGCATGTCTCCTGCTTTGTTACCTTTGGAGTATGCATCTTTTTTTATAGCGAAATAACTATCAGAATAATTAATACATGGCTTTGTTTATCTGATAACTTGAGTTCTGTATCTATCCATATGTTTGGTGATTATGGTTTTTTTTTAAAAAAAGAAAAACTTTCTCCTCCCAGGGTTTTGAAAACCATGCAAGAAGCCACCACCATTTCCATTAACCAATTTTTCCTTCTTAAAGGCTTCACTCCTGAGTTAGCTCGATTTAAAGGATTTTCTTTAACTTTTTGTGTATCTCTTATGTATCTCTTCTGCACAGGGCCAATAATAAGAAGTGGACAATACAGTATTTGCTTCATTGTGTGGGGGAAAAAACCTTTGTTAAATGTATGGATGCAGACGCCTTGATGAAGATCTTAATTTTGTTTGGTTAAAAAAATAGTGTTTTTGAAAATGTACAAAATATCTATCACTACTGATAGGAGGTAATATTTCTGTGTAGAAATGAAAAATGGTTTGTTTTTAGTATTAGTGTAGATGTACACATTCCAGCAAATGTATTTGCAATTATGTGGTCAATGCTTTGTGATATAAATGTACTTTTTCAATGTATACTTTATCACTTTTAAAATGCCTGTTTTGTGCTTTACAATAAATAATATGAAACCTCCTGTGTCGGTAAGTTGGATATGTGGGTATATAAAGAATTATAGGATTGATTTGCAACGCTGAATCAAGGTACCTGTACACAAATGAGATTTTTTTTTCCCCCCTCCCATGAAACCTTGTTGAGTTTAAAAACTTGTCGTTAGCATGTTTTTCCCCTCTTGCAGAATAGTTGTAGATGGAGGATCTCTTTCATTCATTGTATTTTGCTGCCTAGCACCAGTAATCTTGATACCTTAATTTTCTTTCTATTTGATTAAAATTGCATGTGTTTAAGAAGGTGATCTTTTGGCATACTTCCATTGCATTAACAGTGAAATTTCCTTTTATACATGACCACTGTTTCAGACCTGTGCAGCTGCTATAACAGATAACTTTTGTTCTTAATTGAATACTTCAAAACTGTTCCTGCATAACTATTTTACCGATTTTTCAGACTAGTTATAAAATTTACTTTAAGTGTAATATGCTTAAGCCTTCAGTTTAAAGCAGTCCACTTCAAATTCAGTGTAGAAAAGTCAATGTGGTATGCATAGTAGTTACAAAAATTGCATCTGTCCTTAAAACGCTGTTTTGTTTGAGTGGTGGGGAGTGGTTGAGAACTTCCTGCAGAGCAGATAACTTCTGTTTTTGTAAATACTCAAGTATTGAATCAATTGATTATTTTTTTTATATATACTTGAAACTTCTTATTGCTCTAATGCTCATACTAAAAATCTGATTCTCTTGAAATCCTATGTTTGCTCTTTGCATATTTATTGGCTCTTTGCGTATATTAGACTACATGCAATACAGTCTGTCTTGCCATTGTCTGTTGAAGTGCAGGTTTGATCCAGCCAGTATAGAACTAGCTCTATAGGGGTGAGGAGGACTGTGCTGTGTATCATCCTTGATTGTTCCTTCAAGGAGCATTGCACTGTAAGTACATCAGAATGACAAATTGATGAACTGCAACAGTATCTTTTTGTCAATGTTCCACATAATGAAAATGCCATACTTGTGTGACTATTATGTTGGAATACAGTGCTGATATCTTAGGAAATCATAATTGCTTCTTAATTCAGAAACATAGGTTTGCGTATATATATATATACACATACACATAACATGAGCTTTGTGGGTAAGTATTCCTGAAACGTTTAGCAATAGCTAAAGAAAATCATGTTTCTGTTTATCTGAGTAATAGCTCTTTTCATTAGTACTCCTGAGACAGCTGTATCATTCAGTGTTTTAAAGTATGCATATCGTAACATTGAAGTCTTCAGAACCACTTGTTAGACAGAAGTTGTCTTTGTCTTCAGATAGTTTGCAGACATGTAGTGATGTAGGTATGTTTTAAATAATTCTATAACTGTTACTTGCTTTATATTTTGGAACACCATATTGTTGCTTTGAGAATAAATTTTTTTTAGGGTGGCTGCACAGAGAAGTAAAAGTTAAGGCTTGACAATTGAAGTAGTTTATTCAGGTAACTAGCAATGTATGTATTGTGCTGTAGAAATAGAAGGAATTATTTTTATCCCTTTTAAAATTAGGAATTATTCTGGTAGCTTAAAAAAGGCTAGGACAGTATTTGCTATCTTTAGTGTAGGGTATGAAGTTTAATAGTTCAGATATTTTGCATGGTATTTTGTAGATAACCTTATAGAATGGTGCATTTATTATGTACTAAACTGAGCAAAATTAAATTCACTGGATTCTTTATCATTCACAAAATGGAGGCTGTTGATTTTGATTCATTTAAGGTATAAAATCTTTATTAATTGCAAACAGTGCAATTATTTATACTTCACAGTGCCTTCCCAGACCTTCCACCTTAGGTTCTGCTGCAAAAAAGCAACAGGTAAGCACAACCTAAGGAAGTATATAAATTAATATATTTCAGTACATTAATGTTGTCCCTGTGAGATCTTTGTGGTTGTGTATTGAAAAGCAATCTGCTGCTTCCCCAAATGCATTGTTACTCACGGTTCCATTTCAGTGGAAAGTCTTTTAAGTTTTTAAACAACTGTTTATATTTCTAGGTAAATATGTTTTGGTTTTTTGTTGGGGTTTTTTTGGTTTTGGTTTTTTTTGGGTTTTTTTTAGAAAAGATGAGTAGATTGCAGTAATTAAACTTGATCAGAATAAGTAATTTTTGTTATTTTTCCTCAAACAGCTAATTGTTGCAATTAAAGAATCAAAACTTTTAAAATATGCAGGAGTTGCTTTGGTTAGAAACGTCAACAGCCTTCACAAATGTTTTTTTATAATAGGGCACTATTCCCACTTAAACCCTAAGACCTAAATATAGAGAATATGACTTGTTGTTATCACTGAACTTGATAACTTGTCTTACAGTTATAGTGTGTTAGTGGAATTTTTAGATAACTTAGTTTGCTTATTCATACTTGACATGGTAGGAAAACAGATTCTGGAGTTTGAGATTAGTATGTTTTAACTGAAAAAGCATGTGCACCAATTAAATGTTAACAGTACAGCAAATAATATTTTATCTATATAGCAGTCAGTGTATCCTGTTTCTTGATACTTCAACTGAATTGCTGTATATTTTGATAGTTTAAAATGTTTGTATGTCTTACAGATGGTCTGGTACAGGTTTTTGTTTCTGGTTTTTGTTGCTTTTTTTTTTTTAGCTTAAAGTAAAGCAGCATCTATTTGGTTTTTTGTTGATTATTCTGTTTCTAAAATGTGCTGCTCCTCTTTCAAAAGTCCTGCTTATCTGTACATCAAAGAAAAATATTCAAAAATACTGCCTTCATTTTCACACACAGTGCTGAAGATGCTGCAAGCACCAAATCATAGCTCATAGAATCAGGTCCTGAGATAGTTACTACCAGTAAAGAGGAATCCTTTGAGTGTATGCCATTGGTGAGCCGATGAGCATGGACCATAGAAGGGCTCCATGTAGAAGGTAAAATTGGCAAAAACATAACAGATTTGAAATGTATCCCATACATAATGGTGTAGGGTATAATTTTTGTTTTGATCACTTTTCATTCTTTAAAGTATTATTTGTTTGACCATAAATGTTCCATAATCTGTTAAGTTTTTTAAACTGTGATTTAATAATATAAACCATCTATTTTAGTTTATATTCTTCTAAACAGCCAAGCTTAGACATATTTAATTTTTGAACTAAATTAATAGTTGTGCTTCAGTTTCTCAAGCCACTTAATATTTCATCTGTAGTTTAATATGTAACTTCATTTTTGATGTGAGAAAAGGTTAGGTGTGTACCATTTGGATTTTGATACTGTGAATTTAGTGCTGGGGTGAGTCATTTGTTCACTTCCTTTTACATGATACTTTTTTCTTTAACTGTTGTTGTTAAAATATCTTAACAGTCTTTCAATTGTAAATTTAGCCAGTGGGAGGAGATAGAGAAGAAAAAGCCAGTTCATTGGAATGTTGCTAGTGTGTGGAAGATGAGATGTTCTTGTGTGTAGCATTTGAGGTGTATTGACTTCCAGCTTTCTCACTGCTGGGCTTACAGGCATGCTATTTTGTGCTAAGCATAGTGTTTCTTTTTCAACTCTGTCTCCAAACTCATAGTTCTTAGGAGAACAGAAAATAGATTATTGGAGTTATCCCGATCCAAAAAAATAACTGGACTTCCTTAGAAATGTAATGAACTTGTCCAAAAGGTGTCTTTAAATGTTTCCTATGTTCCCCCCCCGCCCCTTATAGTCCCACAAATTAAGTAGAATGTGAAGAGTATGAAAAGTTTAAAAAGGAAGCATAATGTTCAAAGTAGGAAAAGCATTTTCGTATCACTTTCTGCAACCTATACTTTAATAGGACATGAAATGAAATGCCAGGTGGATAATCTTCAGTCTAGCATGATCATAAGTCATGTATTTAAGTTGTCCAGGCAGACAGGATCATTATTCACTTACACAGCCTATCTTGAAATATTTCATCTTTTTACTAGTGGTATTTTATTGGACGATAGAAACTGTTTCTCCCCTGTTCTCTTCCAAAGTAACTTTTAAGTTTTCCATTGCATGCTGAAAGCTTTTTGTTTTGCTTTTTTCTCGAAGCGGGGGGAGGAAGGGAGGACTGGGCTTTTCAGAAAGCATACAGTTGACAGGATTCCCTCTTCCCTAGTAATAGCTTATAAAACTCTTATGTATGCACAAATATTTCTTTTGCGTGCATGTGAAATGCCTTTTCGTCCTGAGAAAAGTGTTCTCTGCAGAAACTACCCGTGTGTAAAAAGAAGATTGGCTTTAAAAGGCAACTGTGATGGGAACAGTGTCTTAGGGAGATGCAGCTTGGACTTGAGGTAAATTGAATGCTTTACAAAAATGTGGTTTTGAGCTTGCATTGACATTGTATGTAATATGGGTACACGTTAACTGTATAATGTTTTTTGTATGGTTTTTCTCAATAAATGTAAACTGATGGATAATAATAGCAATGTTTTTGTCTTTTTTATGCTCCTATCCCTGCCTTCGTTAGTTTGAAATAACAGCTTCAGAGGAAAGATACTGCAGCAACTAGTAGTTCTGTGAATGAACATCACCCACATGAAATGAAGTAAAATATATTTATATGGCTATTAGGATAAATATTCATTCAAAACATCATGCAGCTTATTACCATTTTTTTCAAGATGTTTCTGAATTTGTAACTATTTTATTGAGGCAAAAGAGTGACTTCCAGTGGGTAACTGTACAAAGAGCAGTCAGCAGATTCAACCACGGGAAAATTTCTTTTTGAAATGACTGCATAAATCTAATTTGCTGCAGCTTACCTTGTCTTTATGTTAAGGCTTATACATGTGTTCTTTAATATAAAATGTGATGATTATTGTTTGTAAAATTACTCCTACAGAAGCTTAAGCTGAACAATTCAGGTGGTGTTAGCACAGTGACGTTAGTGTTGATATCAAGAGGTCTTAGAGAAAAACAGTACAGTAGCCTTAAGAAGACAATGTTTAGAGATGCGGTAATAAATTTATTGCATTAGAGAGAACAAAGATTGAGAAGTTAGGCACTTTGTGAAAATACTTTTCTTAAAGTTTGCTTCCTACCAACTTAGCTATGATAGGCTCATATTTTGTCACCAACTGTTCCTGTATCATTTAAGCAATGAAAAAATGAGAAGTTTTACAAGCAAATGTTGGTACTATAAAGACTACTACAAGCCTTACTGAGATTGTTTTTATTTTTGGATTATCAACTGCATAGGTTGATAAGAGCATAACGGTTTAAATGCAAGCCCATTTTAAAACAAAAGAACTAATGCTCTTCGAAACAAAACAACAGAAGTGAGCAGTTATGTAATCTTTTATTCTTTAAAAATAGTACACTGGGGTTTTTGAAAATCATCAATAAGTATTTCCTTTGCCAGTTCAATGCCTCTGGGATAAAGTAAAACAGCTTAAATATTCAGTGTTCATGCAAAATATACCAATAGATTTACACTACTACACAAGTTTCCAGATTGTGTATTTAGCTTTATACTATTACACAACAGTTGGTCTTCAAATGTGGGAGCACTATTATAATTCAGCTTTTTCCTTTAGTTGATCTTTGATACATTGATTCCTTCTTTTTAGCCTTTAATACTAATTTTTGTATTGAGCAAGGAACCTGGACACTCTCCCAATTTGAAGGTTATTCTTATCTGATGCAGGAATGACAAATCTGCATATCATTGCTTTCTTTAGTTGGCCCCATCAGAGAAAGAGATGATGCAATAAGAAAGTTTTGAGAGGAAGAAGGATTCCAGCTAAAGTAGAGCATTAGTAGTCATCAGCTAGAAAATAAAAGGGTTAAGAGAAACAGATAGTTAGATTTTCATAATAGGAAAGATGCAAGAAGACTATCTGAGAATTAAGCGAATTAAAATGCTAACTCTTACTTTCAATGGTGAGAATACAGGTGCTAGCAGATGTGCCTCTGTTGTTGACTGCTTTACACATATATTCCCCTTCATCTTCTGGGAAGGTTTCTGGCAAGTAAAGGCAATAGGTTTCTCCTCTTTCGATATATTGATAGTCCTCAGAGTCCTGCAACATTTCCCCCTCAAACCACCATGTAACTTCAGGCTTTGGTTCTCCAGTAATTTTAACTGTAAATCTCACTGGCTCGCCATCAACAACTGATGTGTTTTTCAGTGACTTCTTGAACCAGGGAGCTCCAGATCGAGCTTGATCTTCCTCGTCTTCACAAGTAGAACCATTAATAATGCTTCCCTCTTCTTCTTCTTCCTCTTCCCTTTTCTGTTTTAAAATAAGTCGATTCAGAACATTTAAAGTGGCGATAGCAGCATGACTGCTAGTGATGTGTATTTGATTACAGAAAAGTTACCACGTTTCCGAGAAGGGGAAATGCCACACCTATCCTCACTAGATAACAATGCACTGAATCTGGATATGGAACAGGCAGTAAAATGGACTTCAATGAGGCTGGAATCTCGGGGTAAGATCTAGGCATTAATGTAGATTCCCTTTGCAGACTGTTCAAAGGATACAATAGATTTTCTTTGCAGTACCTTTCACATACTCTTCAAGAACATGCAAAAAGATGAAGAGCCATTTTACAGTATTGCAGCAATTCACAGCAGCTGTTAAAACAAGTATAACGTTCCTTTTATACCCCTGGCAGCATTGCCATCAGTGGTAATCAGATGCTAAGTTAAACAACAGTTAGAACTGAAGAAAAGGTACTTTGCAATTTATACCTTCTGTAACGCCGCATCAATTTCTTTTTGTTCAAACTGCATGCGTAGTAATTTCTGTTCTTCAATTCTTCTCTGCTCCTCTTCTTCCCTGGCTCTTGCCATTTGCTCAAAACGGGCCTTCATGTTTACTTTATGAGTAAACGGAGCCTCGGATTTCTTGGCTGGTCTCACATCTACCTCATCATCCTTGGGGGAAAAAAAAATAGGACTTATTTATTACCTTTAAAATGTGTATGATGATAAAACTAGTTTTGTAGAGCAGTAGTTCTTCTTAACCGAGCAAAGCCACCCAGAGTCCTGTTTTTGTCAGAGGTTTGTTTAATGTTGGGTTTAAGATCAAGTCTCATAATAGTTTATCCCAGGGACAAGACAAAATACTTGCAACAGTAATTTCAAAAATGTTAGGTAGAAAAATACTAAAGACTTTTTTTTTTTATATAGAAGTTGAATTTACCATTCTTGTGGGAATGGTAAATCCTTAGTGACTTGAGTTTCATGCCATGATGTAAGGTAGCTTCAACACCTAACACAGGCTGACCTTAAAGAAACATAACTACAGTGTCAGTCATTAAATTAAAAGCTCAAAAATTAAAGATGGGCTTTGAGCCAATACCGAAGTGACTGACTGCTGTGGATAGGAACCTCAGAACAAGGCTCAGATCAGGCTTACTACTGTTAAGTTTCCTGCACTGCCACATGATTATGCCATGAAAGCTCGCGTTGGTGTTTTGGGTCACAGAGCATAGTGATTTATTGGTGAGACTGATAGCTTAGTTTCTTGTTTTTTCCTCTCTGAAAAAATGTGAGAGGTTCCAGTCTGAAGCATAGATAAGTAGGCATCCTTTTCTGCTCTACCCTGAGAAATGAGTAGAGATGATAAAAAGACTTGATCTTCAAATGGTATTTTTTGTTTTTGTTTGGTTTTGGTGTTTTAATTCGTACAGTGGAGAATGAGTTAGAGTTCAGAAGGAGAAGCAATTCACGTGATGATTAATGGATTGATTCTCAAATATGAATGTTTCAAACCCTCAGGCTGGCAGGTTTCAGGTTGTCAAGATGCTGAATTGAGGACTTTGAGAGAAAAACAGATCTCTGCTTGACCAGATGACTGATAATAAACTGGTGCTGTTTCCTTTAGGGATGCTGAGGTGAGACTTCCTCATGCATCCAAAGGAGGGAACAGGAAAGAAGGGAGAAAATCATTCTAGAGATACAGCAACCTTTGAAAGCAGCAGCATTGTCCACTCCTGGATCATTAGTGTGGCTAGTTCAGTATACCATTAACATACACAGAACGCAACTTACCTCTTGAAATTTTTCAGCTTCCCTTTCTCTTATTTCTTCATCCATTGCCCTTCTCTTGGCTCGCTCTTCTTCAATCTTCTTCTGTATTTCTTCTTGAGACAATTGTCCTATTTTTTCAAACTTGCTTTTTAAGTTCTTTGCCTGAATGGAACCACTTCTTTTTAGCTTTATTAATTCTTCATATTCTTTGCTTAGCTCAAAAGTTTCAGACTCTTCTTCTAGCTGTTCAGAAATTACAGAATGTGTAAGATGGAAAATGCCCTCGTTATTTTTACTACCTGTTCTCTCCACAGACAGGTGTAACTTAATACACTTGAACAGTTCTCTTAGTTATTTGAAATCGGCACAGAGACCTTTTCCCTCTAATGTCTGTTTCCCCTCGCTATTCTCAGGATTACTGCGTTTGTATCGCATCTAAACTAGATACAGATTTTTAAATATCTTGCTTGAATGTACCCTTTGTTCAAGGATTGCTGTCAACAAACCACCCTTCATGGACTCAGAAAACCAGACACGCAGCAATACAAAAAACTTAATTATCCTGGATCTGTTATTTACCTCTCTGACTTACTGGCGATATTGATATGAAATAATTTTCTAAAATACAGCTATTTTGTAACACAGAAAATTATTACTCTTTTTTTAATTCAGTAAAAAGCAAGTGAGATTTCAGGATGTCATGGCTGGAAAAGAAATAGCAGTTCTGGAGCCCGTAGTCAAACCACGTCTGAAGCTGTAGCTGTTGATGTTCTACTCCCTCCTTTTATGACCTCTGACTGACAGTAAAGATGTATGTGCATTTGAGCTGGATGTCCCTGTCTCTCCCTTCTTCCCCAGGACGTGATACAAAATTTACTTGAAAAGTTCACAATCCAGAATCTTTTTTACTCATCTAGCTTTGCTTAACAAAAATAAATAAATAAATGTAGTCCTCTAACATTCAAAAGGGAATAATAAAGAATTGCCACCCACAACCAAATCAAATTGAAGTGTAAAGTTCATGAACGTGATGTTTTAGTCATCTGGTATGCAAAGCAAATTTTGTGTGTAATTTTTAAAATTGACTGTGACGGTCTTCAAACCCTTGATACGCTGATTAGAAGTAAGTTGAGGCCACTGTAATTCTTTCCTAATGAGTCAACACAGCATTCCCTTGAGGAAAAGCAAGAATTTTGCTCTTTCCTACTTCCATTTTTGTATATTCATTTGGGAACTAGATGTTTCTGTTCTCCCGATATTGTAAATATTACATAATTGGTTTAGTAATACTGTAGAATTTTCAGAAGTGACTGTAAAATAAAATTACAAATTTGAAATTGTGTTTTTACTTTAAGGGTGGCAAGGGATGAAAGCATTTTCCTAGTAGATTAGTGATAAAAAGTATGTAGCTACTTATATAAAACGTTACAGATTTTAG